TTCTATTTTTTATATTAGAATATGATAGATTTTTTTTGTTATTAGCTAACAAAATCCCCATCTTTTGAAAAAAGTATTAACCATATAAGACGGTACAACTTATATATATATTTAGAATAATAAAACTGTAATTGTTTTTTCATAGTTGTTCTTTATTATCTAATATTTAGTGTATAAATCTTATGTACTATTTTATCTCTAAAAGAATAATAAGATCTCAAATTATCCCCAACATGAGTTTTTTTAATTTATATAATCAATGATTCTAGAAAAGTTTGTTTTAACACTAACTCTATGTTCTTGAGTCTTCTTTTACGTAGGAAAGAGATGAAAATAATTGGGGAAGAAAAATATTTTGTTCTCGAGATTTTTTTAGGGAAAGGAAAAAAATTATATCAAAATTCATTTTTATTTCATTATTTTTCCTTCCTCTCTCTTCTATAATAAAAATACAAATAAAAAACTTTATTTTTATTCTTTCCTTTTATTTTTATTTTCCTTTCTCATTATTTCTTTCCTTCCTAAATTCAAAAACATAATATAACAGTTTGAAATTGTGTTAATCTTCTCAAATTCGAAAACATAGTATAAAAGTTTAAAATGATGTTAATCTTCCCAAATTCGAAAACATGATATAAAAATTTAAAATGATGTTAAAAAAATATTAACATGAGATGACATGAAAAACCAACCTATTTACATTGATTTACATAGTGTAACTCGGAAATCAGAAAAATCGACTTTTTGACTACAAATGATATCATTCTATGTACCAAAACTATATCATACAATGTTTTTGATGATGAAATAAATTACTGATACTACATAAAAATGTTCTAGTAGATAATATTAATTTAGAAATAAGTATTGATTGATTTTGCGTCCAGGAATACTCGGAAAAATGGTTTTATATGAATTCAATGTTATTTCAGATGATAAAAACAATATATTGAAAAAATATCGTACTTATCGAGGACTTCTTTTTACATCTCGTCCAGGGCCTAAAAAATGTCAGAAACGGGTCTGTCATGATCACAATATTTATCGTCATCACCTATTCCCCCGTTATGAACTCTCCTCTCCCCTCACAACAACCTCTTCCTTGACGCCCCATCTTTCTGCTATTGCAAAACCATCGATGACGGAAAGCCATATCCTAATCCCAAATTCAATCTCCATCTCTTTATTCCCTTCTCGATCCCACTCAACCTAGACCTAACCCTTTCTCTTATGTTTCTACTTTAACGATTCTGCTTCCCTCAGATGCAACCTAGACTTGACCCAACTTAAACCAACTGGGAAGTTTCACTATGAGTTCATGACGATTTTTCCATTTTACAGTAGCAATTTTCAACAAACCACATGTATTAAAACATAGTTTACTCTATCGTTTTTTAAAGTTTTCACTATGAGTTCATGACGATTTCTCCATTTCAAAGTAGCAATGTCAACAAACCACATGTATGAAAACTTAGTTTACTCTATCATTTTTATTAAAGTTTATAAAACTAATTAATAATCAACTGATAAATACATTCAAACACAAGAAAAATTCCGATCCTTGTTAATATGATAAAATATTCCATCTTGGGTTTGTTTAGCAACAACTAAAATCAAGATTTAGCGTCTTAAAAATTAATTAATTTTACATATAATTTTACCTTAACTGGTTTAATAGATAAAATCTTAAAGAAACTGATTGAATGGGTCGAAAGTTGTCCAACATGGAGTATATGCGCGCTATATATAGTTCTAATTGATAAATGTTACCTGATACATAGTAGCAACATAGACATCTGAATGTTAAGAACATCTCCAACATGTATGCTATATTTTCTCTTTTTTTTCCTTTTAAATTGTTGCAAACTTTCCCTAAATCTTCAGAAATTTTAAAATAACATAATTATTGGAGATGTTTTAAATAGAAACTTACTGCATCTCAAACACTTACCCAGTAAGTGCTTACGGATAAAATTTAACATTATTATTTACTTACCGGGTAAGATTTTAATCCACCAAAACGACATTGTGTGCAACAATTTACCCGGTAAGCGCTTACCATGGTAAGAGTAGTCGCCCTCACTTATTGGCTAAGACTCTTGGTCTTTGTCTCGCTCTTACCGGATAAGATTTTTGGTTTTTATCATATTCATCCGGTGAGGTAATGTTACTTAGTAAGTGCTTACCCAAATAAGCATTTGGTAAATGGCCTGTAAGACACATTTTAATTTAATTAACTGAAGCAGATGTATATAAACTTATGGATGAGGATTATTACTGATACACGTTTTATTTTGTAAGTATTTACTAAACAACCCATAAACATCGAAAGATTATCAGATAAGACATTGAGTAAAATGAGTTAAAAAATAATTGCGGTAAAAAAGGGGAAGATTGAGGCGGAAGTCTTGGGGGACAAATACAATGAATATGAGTGGTGTAGGTAGGTGCCCACATGGATGATTCCCATACCATGATATCCATACACGTGGCATCTACAATGCGGCTGTCTGGCTGTCGAATATTACAGTGGGGACCACCTATGCCTACAAGTGTCCATTTCAATCTCGTCCTCATCCACTTGATTGCATTTGTGGCTCCCACTCACCCTCTTCAACCAAAGCATTAAAAAAACTCATAATTTATGTTAAATTACAGATTTGCCCCTGTTTCCATATATTGTCCGGGTCGGTCCCGTTATGTTAAAGGCTCCATGTAGAAGATAAATTGTTTTTTTTTTATTATACTAGTTGTGTAGTCATGTGATGCGGTGAGAGCCGTGAATTTTAACGATTTTGAAGTTTCACTGGTTATATTAGAAAAGATTTAACGATGATATAAGTTGCACCTGGTCGTTATATATTAATACAATTTAAATAAATAAGAGTTATGGTTCTAATTATAGTATATCGATGAAAAAAATTGTATTACAGTTTAAAATCCAATATATTTAAAATCCAACATATTTAAACGACTTCACAAATGTGTTCGATTTACACCAAGAGCAAAGAACCAAGAGATCGGGAGCGAGACCGAGAGTTCTAGAGCAATTGAATGAGAGATGAATGTGAGAACTTTTGATAACTCATGATAAACAGTTTGAATCTCACATTGAGAGATGGGGAGAAGACATAGATGTATGAGAGGGTGAAGACATGATAGAAAGATGTCAAAAGTATCTTGGGAAAATGAAAAGAAAGGTAATATGTGCATTGGTAACTTGTACTATATGTTATTTTAATTGTAAATTAAGAGATTTTAAAACTGAATGCATAAAGTAGTAGTACTTAATGCATTATGAGTTATTTTTAAAACTTTTAAGACTTTGTGCATAAATATACAATACTTTGTACATTAAAAAATGTTTTTAAGACTTTTAATAAATCTGGTTAATTAGATAGTATAGATTATTTATTCAATTTTTTTAATTATATTTGTTTGATGATAAATCGTTCGAAAACTCATCTTTTTGATTTTAAACAAATCATGCATTTTTCTAATTTTAAAATATTTTATTCAAAATTTCAAATTGGAAGCATCGTATTTTTATATATAACCAATCAATCATTATCAGTAATTACAAAAACACATTAACCATGATGTTTATTTTAATAATTCTAAAATATATTAAATAAACAAAGAAATTTAAAAAAAAACAAAAGGAAAACACTAAATAACCGCAGTTAATTAATAAATCCATTTTTATGCGTAAAATCTTGAAAGTGGAAGAGTGAAAACGAAGCGTTTCTTATCAGTAAAAATTACGAATGATTATTGAAGAACACAATTAAAAAATTAAGTTAAAAATTAAATACTCCGGATTTAAGTTTAAATAATAAATTATAGAATGATAAAAGATTACAAAACAAAAAAATAATTAAAAATAATAATATATCTAAGTCGGCTCTAAAAAGAATCAGATAAAAGAAATGTATGTTAAAGCAGAAAACAAAATGCATGCCATGCAGGTTTAATTTTGTAATAGGTGAATGATTGTGTGAGAAAGAGAGTTAAGATGAGAAGCGTAAGAAAATATCTCTACTCTTGTAATAAATGAAGTTTTGGGACGAGGACCATGATTTTAACGGTAACAACGGAACCAAATCTGTATGTAAAGATGATGAACCGTCCGACCCATTTCTTTTTGCGATTCAAGTTGGTTTGGATTGGAACCAAAAGCCTAGGCTTTTCAATGGTTTCATTTGTAGCCCAATGGGCTGCTAATGTGTCTTGTTTAGCAGGTGGACCAGGTTACCTGACGGGCCGAGGCTCATTCCCATACCTAGTGTACCATTAATTTACTTCAATTCCATTAAGTTATAAATCAATTATAAACGTTTAAAATATCATTTTAAAGATTCGTTTAGCATACGTTTATTTGATGAGTGTTTAACAAGTCACATCACCTTACCATATGAACATGGTTAAGATTTAAAATCTTATCCGGTAAGAACAATGACAAAGGCAGGAAGTCTTACCCAGAAGTGAGAGTGATGACTCTTACCTTGTTAGCTACCAATAAGGTAAATTGTTGCATAAGACACCATCTTGATGAATTAAAAATCTTACATGATAAGGTAAGCGATAATGTTAAATCTTACAGGTAAACATTCAGTAGATAAGTGTTTAGGTAAACGACCACTAAATGTCTGTTATGATGTATTATTTTTGCCTTGTATATTAGAAAGGACGGTACATTTATTTAATTTATTGGTATTTAAATTGACAAATTAAATGAAAATCAATTTTTTCTTTATTCATATTTTGAGAAATTAAAGGGGCTGTTTACTTAAATGCTTACTCGGTAAACACTTACCGTTAGGAGTCAACACTATAATTTATTTTACTGCGTAAGATTGTAGTACATTAAAACGGTAGAGTATGCAACAATTTACCCGGTAAACACTTATCTGGGTAAGAGTCGTCACCTTCACTTACTGAGTAAGACTCTAAACAACATGCAAAAGTAAATCTTTTGACATAAATAGGAATTGGATACCTGTTGGTATGATCTTTACATTATCTCCCCACCATTCTTCAAATGTTTTCCCATTACATCAAGCAACATATATATCTGTTTAGATTTGATGTTGGATTTCTCCCCCTTTCGGAATTCATACGCTATGCCATCAACCTCAATCGAACTATAACCTGCAATCTTCTTCATCTTTCTTTGTTTCATCGTCTTTCTTAACTTTACAGCATCCCTAAATCTATACAAAGAGGAATATAAGTTCGACATTAGTATATACGCACCATCTTTCTCTTCATCAATCCTATCCAATTTTTCCATCACCCTTTCTCCAATCTCAACGTTTCCATGAATCCTACAAGCGGCTAGTAAAGCTCCCCAGACTAAACCATCAGGTTCCACGATCATATTCTGAAYAAAATCTTCGGCCTCACTTAACAACCCTGCACGGCCAAAGAGGTCAACCATACACCCATAGTGCTCTTTTTGTGGTTTAATATTGTGAACCATCCACATTTCCACAAAATGGTTGCAGCCTTCTTTTACAAGTCCAGCATGGGCACATGCCATAAGAATCCCTACATATGTTACATCGTTTGGTACYATTCCCATTTTGGGCATCTCRGAGAAAATTTCGAGTGCCCTTTTCGCCTCCCCATGGATGGCAAGCCCAAATATCATACTGGTGTATGTATAAACGTCTTTATGTTTCATGTTGTTAAAGATACTATATGCTTTCTTTAAGTGTCCACACTTCATGTACATATCTAGAAGTGCGTTTCCTATAAATCCATCGGCTCGAATGCCATTTGTGTCYATATAAGAATGTACCCATATGGCATCTTTGAGTGTCCCTAAATTAGCACAGCAATTAAGCACACCGACTAAAGTGAATTCATCATGTTTGACACCTTGTTTCTGCATCTCTTTGAACAAATTCAAAGCAAGTTTGAACTTTTCTTGGTGAACTAGGCCCAGTATTATKGAATTCCAAGAAACTACGTTTTTCACAGKCATTTTGTTAAAGATCTTAAGAGCTAAACTAGCTTCACCGCATTTTAGATACATATCAACCAAAGCGTTGCCTAYGTATACATCGAAATTCAGGTTATGATCGCATATATAGTCATGAAGTTTCTTACCTAGGTTCAGATCTTTCAATCTGGCACTGGCTGAAATCAAAACCACCATTGTCATCTCATCTGCTCTAACACCCGCATCACACATTTCGTAAAASACCTCTATTCCTTTCTCGCAGAAACCCATACTTACATAACCTTGAATTAAAGTAGTCCAAGTCACCAAATCTCTTTYAGGACTTCCATCAAACACCTTCTGGGCACCTTCCAAAACACCACATTCACTATAAAACCTCATCAATATGTTCACAACATACAAATTCAACACAAACCCAGTTTTCACCACATGAGAATGTATCTGTTYGCCTACTCTCAAGGTGGACAAAAGCGTGCACGCCTTGAGGACATAAGGGTACGTAAAACTATCCCCAACCAAGCCTTTCACAAGCAAATCACTATAAAAAAACAATGCCATCAGAGGGTTGCGATTCTTATTAATGAACGATCTTATGACGGTGTTATAAAGATCGATGCTCGGGTTCTMGAGTTTACTAAAAAGAGAGTGTATGTAGGTGATATCAGRGATGTGCGTGGATGCTGTAGCAGAAATGGAGATGATTCTGGTGTACAGCAATTGTTGGGTTTGATGAGGTGATCTTGAGGTTTTGATGACATAGGARTGGATTTGTTTGAGTTGTTTTAAGGAGTTGCACGATTCAAGTTTGTCGAGAATTGAAGAATCTCGGGAGTGATGAGTAWGATGGGTAAGTGGGATGGAGGCAGATGAAGGGGAAGGTTTGATGAGCTTTTCCATTTACAGAAGGTTTTCCGGTGGACAAGAACGATTATGGACTTCAAAAGATAGACATGAGGGTGCTCAAAAACTCAATAAACTCCATAAATTCAATCTAACCCAACGCGAAAATAAACCATTCCGAAGCAACTCGATGTCTAATCGAGTTGTAAAATTGTCAAATCGTAGGTATTGGGTTGATATTGAGTTACTATTATTTGAACCCAACCCAACGTGATGAATCCGATATCCTTTTATTTCTTGGATTTAATATGATTGTTGAATTTTTATTAATATATATATAAGACAATTACACTATCATGTATGATTTTCATATACACATATTTTCAATCTATTCATATCTCTATATAACTCATTCATATATATGTTCAGTAACTGTGAACATATATATGAAAATTGAGAAAATTAACTGAATGTGATATACGTAAGAAATATAAATAAGTTGTATCAAATGGTTGATGATGAAATATAAATTATGAGTAAAGAAATAACATATTCAAGGTTAGAATAATATTTTAATATACCAAAGTATCAACCCGACTAATCTTACCAACCCGTACGGGTTGGGTTGGGTTGGGTTGGGTTGCACTATGGTTTGGGTTAAGATTTTTCCAAACCGTAAGCATTGAGTTGGGTTATTCAAATGTCTTCAACCTGATCAACCTAACCCATGAGCACCCCTAATGAAAACGATGATGAGTCCACCATTTACAGAAATGCAAACCCGACCAAATATCTTTTACAAGAAATAATTACTTCTACCAAACACCCCCTAAAATGMCGTAGATATTCAATTTCTAAAGTTTAATTTATTTATTAAGGAGTCGTTTACTAAACACTTACTTGGTAAATATTTACCAGATAAATTTTCTCATCGGATGAACATGAGAAGGGTCAAGAATCTTACCGGGTAAGAGCGATGAGAATGATGGAGAGTTTTACCCGGTAAGTAAGGATGACGACTCTTACCCAAGTAAGCGTTTACCCACTAAATTGTTGCATTTGATATGTTTTAATATACTAAAATCTTATGCATCAAAATAAATCATAGTGTTGACTCCTATCAGTAAACCCTTACCAGGTAAGCAAATAGGTAAACGGCCCCTAAGAAAAAAAGAAACGAACTCTTCGGGCTCTTCCCATTTTTTAAAGAAAAAGATTCATATGTTTAAGGGTGTTTGAGATGCTTATAAAAACAACTTATTGACTTATTTCAGTGTGACACCGGTAATAAACACTTTGAGTGTTTGCATAAACAGTTTATACTGGTGTCGATAATAAGAAATTTTTGAAGAAGTTAAACCATTTTAACTTGTAATAACTTGATAAACAGTTTTATAGAAAACCATAAATTGTTTCAAATAAACAATCTCAAAGTTGCTAAAAAGTGGAAAGGACACGTGGTGAAGATAAGTGAAGTCGAGGTGGCCATCAATGGGCCTTTGGATTCTGCTGGACCTCGAAGTGATCACCTGGCCGCTGTTGAAATGGTTTCTCAAACCCAAATGTCATCCACTCCTTTATCCCTACAAACAAAGTAATGGGGTAGGTGGCACTTGACTACTATGGTATCAAAAGTGGATACTGGGCTGACTTTTAATATAGATTTCATGCAAGACAATTCCTTGGTCAATGTGGACTGTAATTATGCAATCTCCAGCCCGCCAGGCCGTTACTGGTTGCCATGGAGAAGCTTTGTACAACAGTCTTGGGCCCGAGCTAACCTTAGTCCATGTGGGTTTGCCTAGCTCTCACGTGTATGAAGGTGGTAATCTTACTCAAAGCCGTGTGTCTATTTCTCAAGAATTCATGCAGTATGACAAGGTTGATAAGCATCATGTTGAAGCCCAAGACATCTCCTCGTATGTGGGCCAGCCCAGTTCGGATACCAGCATCCAAAACCTGGCCCATCAGGCTGCTTCTTTTTACGTTGAGAATGGGTTACCTACTTTTGATGGGCCTGAGCAAATATCTGATCCTTGTGGGCCTAACTTTGTAGATCAACCAAGGCCTCTAAGTCTAAGAGGTGATCAAGATCTGAGTCCACATCTCTCTCAGAAGCCCATACAAAATTATAATACTTTGGGCCATGATCTCACTAAGTCCAACTTGCATGGGAATGGTCAGGTTAGTAATACCTTTTCTCCTAACTCCTTATCTTTTGTCACTAACCCCCAATCCCATGCAGGTTCCCCTAGTACTTTATCCCCCAAGTTAGCCAATAGTGGGAAGAGTGAAGAGCTTTTTAATATGGAGGGTTGTGTTGATAATAGTGCCAATGACCCTACTTCATTGGGGACGTCCGTCCCTATTATCTGTGCRTGCCTCCATCCAGGTAAGTCCCTTAAATAATATTTCTTTGAATTCTGTTTCTCCTTTAAATTCCTCTGGGCCTACTTTGGATTCTTTTACTACTGCTTGTGGACCGGACTCYATTGTCTTGGAAAAGGGTATTCTATTATTAATGACTACTCTTCCATGGGGACGTCCGTGCCTAACTCCTTACATGAGATGAGGCTATGGAATGAAGAGCCTAAGTTAATGGTGTTCAAGATAATGGGCCTAGTTCAAATGAAGATAGTGGAATGGGTGTTCAAGATCCTAATGCCATTACCAATCAGAAGGTGGAAATTGTTGGACTCTATCCCAAATGTGATGGATAAGAACAATGAGCCCTTTTCTCCTGCGTTATCTCTCCTTGGCCCACATCAGTCTAACCCTCTGCCACTGTCAGGTATGCCCAACTTTTAATATTACTGGTGCCCCCTCCCCTTTATTTGCTTCTCATTCTTTGAATAATAATGCTGAAAATCCTAAAAATATTTCTAACTTTCAAAAAACCCAAAATGAAGATTACTCTAAAGCCAAACCTAATGTGGTGTGGAATGGTCAAAATACTAATATTTTACCCAATTCTTTTGCTAATGTGCTTAGCGGTTTCAAAAAACATTTGAATGATAATTTTAAATTCTCCATTCCATAATGGAGATGTGTGTATAARAAACARTATATTGATAAAAAAATTTCCAAAATCAAAAGARCGATTGGGTTGAAAAAAAARGTAAAGAATTTCTAATCATCTTGTTATYCTATAATGAAAACGAACATAAATATTGAAATTGAAATGGGAAAAGAGAGGATAGAGAATCTRTTGATAAGTTTATCTGTATCCGAGGTATCTATTCGGTTTCTACTATAATACCTTGTTTTGACTGTATCGCACTATGTATCATTTGATAACCCCCAAAATCTTCTACCTTTCATTTAAATAGAATTTAAAATGGAGAAATTCCAAAGCTATTTTTATCCCGAGCTTATGTGAGAATGAGGATGCTCCTATTGATATACCTCTTTCGGTGGTTAAAAAGAGTTGTGAAACCTACTCTAAAACTTTGTGTGGTTATTTTGTTGGAAAACGTCTCCCTTTTCMTGTGGTTCGTTATTTTGCCTCCAAGTTGTGGTCCCAGTTTGGTATTGAAGATGTTATGTTAAATGGACATGGTTCTTTTCTCTTTAAATTTAATTCGGAGGAAGGTCTCCAAAAAGTGATCGATAATGGCCCATGGTCCTTTAAAAATGTTCCTATTTTCGTTCAAAAATGGAGGCCTGGTATAAATTTAAACTCAAATGTGCATGATAATATTCCCTTATGGATTAATATTCATGATATCCCGTATGATGTGTGGAATGATGAGGGCCTTAGCCATATAGCTAGTAAAATTGGTAAACCCATTGCTATGGACTCTTGGACTGCAAATATGTGTAAGTATGCTGCAGAGAAATCTGCTTTTGCAAGGGTCCTTCTTGATGTGCCTGCTAGGAAAAATTGGCTTAATGAGGTTAAGGTACGTATTCCAAACCCTGAGACTTTTGATATGACTTTGCATTCTTTAAGAGTGGAATATGAATGGCAACCCCCTGTTTGCTCCCATTGCAATGTTTTTGGTCATGATGACTCTATGTGCCCACATGTTATTTCTGAAGTCTCTGATAAAAAAGATAAATGTTGAGAATGTTATTGATGCTAATGTGCCTGGTAAAGATAAAGACAATGAAGGTTTCCAAACCATCAAAAGAAAACATCCCTCTCGCGCTAAAAAGGATAACCCTTCCTCGTCTGAAATTGGTAAAGGCTCAAATGTAAAGGCTCCTCCCCGCAAGGTTTACCGCCCTGTGCAAAGGACTCCCGCCCCTCCCTGCTAGCTCCCCCCGGCTAGCTCCCCCCAGTTTCCAATCCCCCCAGATGGGTTTACCCTCTGCTTCTAGACCTGCCCTTCCTTCTAAATCCATTACCCTTAAACCTCACCAACCCAAACCCTCTAACCCTCCACATCCCCCCAAGACACATGCCAAGGACCCTCCTTCTTCTTCAAATCGTTTCTMTATTCTTGCTGACTCTTCTCAGTCTTCTGAGCCTGAGTCATCCTCTCCCCATCCCTCTGTTCCTTCTGTTCCTTCCGAGATCGAGGATGATCCCCTTGATCAGGATGACCTCCTTGATGAGGATGATGTGATTGAGGTTGAGTCGGATGATGGAGATACTGCTAGATTTCTCACCAGTGATATCACTCCCTCCYAGGTTGAGCCAAAGACATCTCAGGAGTCTGAGCAGATGGACACTACCCTTTCCTCGGGTGTCCAGTGATTTTCCCTTCTTGGTCGCTGCTTGTTTTGGTTTGTGCTTCTCTTTTGGTTTGGTATAAGGTGAGCCTGTTTTAGGCCCCTATTCCTTCCTTCATTGTTTCCCCGTTGCTTGCCTAGGTCTTGCCTGCCTAGGCCTTTCCCTTGTGGATTGTTTCTTTTTCTCTACCTTTTCCTCTCTCGGGGCTCCTTAGCTTTTTCTGGTGGTTGTGGACTTACCCCACCCGTGTGCTTTTTGTCTTGCGTTTTAGTGTTTTGCCTTGATTTGGAGGGGTCTCCTGCCTCCCTATCAAAAAATTGCTTATTACCCATTTAGACCCATCATAACCTATTTACACCTGTTAAAGAGAATAAGACCCATTCACTTAGACCAAAGATACACATTAAGAACCACAATGACCTGTTATGCCTCAATTAGACCACCTAAAGTCTAATTGGATCAACTATGACCCCTTTAAACCTATTATGACCCACTTAACTAGACTCATTAAGCATAATAAGACCCAATATACCCACATAGAACAAAACGACCCATTCAACTTAGTTAAAGAACGCCATGACCCGTTATACCTCAATTAGAGCTATTAAAGTCTATTCAGGTTGATAATGWCCCATTTAGACCTATGATGACTCACTTGGACTTGTTGAGGACCACCATGGTATACTTCAATTAGACTCATTAAAGTCTGATCAGGTTCACTATGACTTACTTAGACCTGCTATGACCTATTTAGACTCGTTAAGGATAATAACTAAGGCACATTATATCCGATTAGACCACAATGACCCACTAAAAAGCCATTAACACCCATTGTAGTACACTTACACTCATTAAGGGGYCGTTTATTAAAYACTTATGTTGGTAAGTGTTTACTGGTGCAATTACCTTATTGGATGAACATAATAAGGACCGATAATCTTACCCGTTAAGAGGGAAGACAATGATCAATAGCCTTACTTGGTAAGTGAGGGTGATGACTCTTATCTAGTAAACGCTTACCGGTTTATAAAGAGCTTACCATTAATCCATTTTGATGGTCGGGAATATTATCTCATAAGGTAAATAAGAGTGGTGACTCTTCCTGGTAAGCACTTACCTAGTAAGTGTTTGGTAAACGGCCCCTAACTTCTTAGTACAAAAAAGTTTTCATCTGAAAGTTTGAAAAGAATGAAGATTCTATTATCTTTTAGTTTGTAAACGCAAATCATCAAAAAGGTATATCTATGTTGTACCGTACACAGTAGTAGCATTTGATAACCCTT